GTAGTACTTATAAATCAGACAGAATGTCAAAAATGGACTGATGCCACAACTTCATGATGGCATAGTGAATCAATTTCTCACTCGGGTTGAATGATCTGGGGCAACCATGACCCTGCTGAATTTCTGCTGTGTGTGCACTGTCCTGAAGAAACTATGCACATTTTAATGAGAGTATTCAGAGAGCCAACAATGCACACAGGACTTGCATCACCTACACTTTATTTCTTGAAGGCAGATTCACTCCATCAGAAGGTACATAGTATAATTTTATATTAAAATACAAGCAATCCAAAGTAATACTTGCGAAATAGTTTAGTGATTGAGGGTTTCAGTCCCTCCGTAGTAATTTGAGAATTTGAGTTGAAGTTTAAAATCAATATCTTGAAAGCAAATGACTTCGAAGGTATTGGATTATTTTTAAAAAATTGCTTCGCTATTTACAGAAGGTAATGGAGTACTCTTACTCTGTCTGACCTATATGTGGTTCCAGTCTCTCAGCACTGTCATTGACTCTTAACCACCCTTTAAGATGCAGCATTTCAGCTGCGGCAGAGAATAGCAAAATCTTGGAAGTCCCTGACTAACAGTTCTGTAGATGTACCTACATCACAGGACTGAGACATCCAGTATTCTGTTCAGGTAACAAAGGAGTGGTAATAAATGCCAGTCTTGACAGTGATGCCCATCTCCTGAGAATTATTTTTTAAAGAAAGGGGTAAAGAAGATGTCAGAGGCTCCAGAATTTCTGCAAATTATATTGCTGCAGCAAGTCAGTGAGCTAGTAGGCATCATCTTGAAAGGTCATGAATGATAATCGCTGCTCTTATAATGCCGTGAAAAAGAACGACCTGAGTACATCTCAATAAGAAAAGCAACTGTGAAAATCTCCATTGACTTCTCTCTCTTGGCTGAAACAGCAAACAGAACATCCAGATTCTGCGGGTCTTTCTGTTAACAAGCAGACTGGAAGCAATATCTTAAATGCTTTTTGAGTGGTTTACACAATCTAGTTTGCTTTTCATGCTGGTGAATACCAAGCTGTAAAGCAGATCGTTGCGCTGCTCCATCTGAATTATTGTTGCTGCTGTGAAGTTCAGGACATTGATGATAATAACAGCCATTTGACAGATATGTAGCAACGTGGCCGTCTACTGCTATGTATGGTGCAATTTACAGTCAGCAAAACAGTGCACCGTTTGTTAGGTGCACTCTGCAACCACTGATCTCAGAATGACTCTGCACACAACTGCAACCAAAATCATCATCTCTGCATCCTGCACCTCTGTGCATAAGTGGAGTTCAGATTCCTGGCTGGTAAATTTTTAACATTTTGAGATAATTTTCACTTTTGGCCAAAACACAGATGGCTACACCATGGCCAACAGAATTTCCCTTGTCCAGAATTCCATTCCACATAGCGCCAAACCCACATAGAGAGAGGGGCCTTCATGCATCTTGGTTTTAATGCATTCTAAAATAGTACTTTTAACTAAAGCTTTTGCTTCTTGAAATGTGACTTGTAAATAGTTGAGAAAGTAGCCATATGACGGCTAATAAGTGCAGATGATTAAAACTTATTGCAATGTTTTCTGTCACAAGAGTATACCATAGGTTTGGTTATGATGTGCAAGGCCCAGTCCCTGGGGACTGCCTTTCAAGTTCATCAAAGTGCCTGAGTAGCAGAGAGGAATTTTCTGGGATAGTGAAATTGGTTATACAATACCTCTAGGAGGGTTCGAGTTCATTAACTACAACTAACAAAAACATTTCTAAAATCCTCTCGGAAACAAATTATATTTTGACCATCTTTTCATGGCTTTTCCTCTCTATCCTGTCCAGATAAAGTAAAACCGAAATCAAAAAAGAAGGAGGAACCAAGTTCGATATTCCAGCGTCAGAGAGTGGATATGCTTCTCCTGGATATACGGCAAAAATTCCAGCCCAAGTTTATTCAGGTAACTGTCTTTCTGTAACTTGCCATGTCCTTTATTTCAAATAAATAATCAAAACCAAACAGTACAGATATAGTAGGTAGTACAGAAGTGTTTCTTTTTTAAATTCCACAAGGTGTAGGGAAAGTGAAAGGTTATATTATAGTGAGCAAGGAATTCTTTCAGATGGATTTCACTGAGATATCCAGTGCAGTAGATTGATTCACCATTGTCCACTTTGAGGGGCATAGAGGTAGCACCCATTTTACAAGTCCCATTTCACGAGCCAACACAGTCTGTCACTTTGCAACTTAAGGAGTAGCTTCAATTTGGCTTAAACAGACTAAGGTTGCTAAGTTTAAAAGCAAAAGGCGGATATCATGCAGGTCTGATATGCTGCTCCCTAAGAATGTGGATTTGAATAATTTCATCACACATCCTACTTGAACATTTGAATTTTCCCTTGAAGGGGTGGTGAAAGAGATCTTGCTAGTTGCGGTGTAAATGTAAAGTGATTTTACCCCATTAATTCTTTTTCTCTTGTTTACGTCGACACCAAAAATTTGGCAGCAATTTCAGTACACCAATGTAACTACTGAACGATGCAATTTAAGAACTTGAATTTTCTTTGTGTGGATGACCCAAGTGTTCCTTATATTGACTGTTGGTTTCATTTTCAGCCCAAATCTGGAGACAAGCCTGTGCCAGGTGAGAGTTTTTATTCTGAATCAAGCTAATTCAAGTTAATAGATGTTCCAGATTAATATTTTGACTGCACACATTCCCATGTTTATTTTTCTGCTTTTCAGTGGAGCAAGTGAAAAAGGAAACTGAGCCAACAACTGAGACCATCAAACAGGAGGAGAAAGACTCCACAAAGAACTCGCAGCAGAGCTCAAGCACCAAGGCTCCTCCTGAGAAACGAATGCGACTCCAGTGAAGAGGTGATGAATGTCTGTCACTGGCTTGAGTTGCCAAATCTCTGGCTCAATTGTTGTGAGCCGTTGAACTTTTGGACTTTATTTTGCACAGAAGTGAATTTTGTTTTGTGCTTTTTATTTTTATACGTCAAACATGAAATGGGTTCATCTCTAGGAGAGGCTTAATCTCTTCAGTTCTTAATCCTCGTCCAATTCCAAGATATCATCCGTTCTTATTGCTTCAGACATTTTCTGCGGACCATCCTGCTTCACTAGATAAGAAGAGGAATCAGTATAAAGATGCAAAGCTGTCATTTTAAGAATGACAGTCTAAAGTGATCAAGCTTAGACTAAGTGATGAGACTTCTTACGCTTGGAATGATATTGAGGAAATTAGTTGTTATTATCCTATGACACCATTCTTTAACCAGTGGATATCCATGGGCAGTACAAATTGGAATCGCATCAATCTACATGGACACTATTCCAGCAAAGCTAACATTTGGTAGATGTTTATAAATAAGATTTTATCTCAATAGCTACAGATTTTCATTGTGTCTTGATAGTCAGAGGGGGTGTTTTATTTGTGGTGTAGAATGTTCTGCCCACTGTGTTGTTAATGACACAGTGCTGCTTTCTGTCTGACTGAGATTGGGAATGCATTGCCTAGAAGTGTTCCTGCAAGTCCTACCACAGCGTGCATCTTAGCAATGCATTGTGTTGCTTTGTAAAGGTAGATAATTAAAAATCAAAGAGCCAAGAGCTCCCCACCTAATGATTTACTTGGTAACGGCAGCTTTTAGAGAAATGTTAAGCAAGAAGTTTCCATATTTGAATGCTAGCTTGTACTGAGCTATTGGAATTAACTTTGGGAAGATCGTGATGGTCAAGTAGCTTATGCTAGGATCAATTTCTAAGTTCATATGGGAACAAGATCGGTCAGAGGCTGTGATCAAAATCTCGAGTATAATTATCTATTAGGAAAATGTTGTGTGGTTACTAAGACCTAATTAACATTATTTGAGCAGGAGACAGAACCTCCAGAATCTCAAAGTGGAAATTTTGTAAAGGCAAAGTTGCTGAACAATATCTTCCATTTAACTGGCTCAGTCCCATATGCTTCACTGCTTGAAGTTTGTACTGTTTACAATATCTTTTGCTGTGTAAAGAGTGGATTGAATTTCCTAATAGTTAGTGAGTAGGACCCCAATAAAGAGTAATGTAGGAATAATTTGATCTTTCACTTTAAATAAACATCTTTGAAAAATAGTGTAACTGAAGATATGCCTTTCAGGTATTGGAAATAGAATAAAAAATAACTATGATTTTGTGTACCACTGAATAAAGAAGCCTGAAATTGTTTTGTGGAGATTTTATTTTTAAGTATATTTAAGAATGAACTTGTTGACATCGTGTGGAATTGCACACAAAATCAAGAGTACTGAAGGATCGTTTGGAAGGAATTGGAGAGATTGAGAAGATGGAAGGGAGCCAGGAAACAAGCTTGGGCATTGGGGAAAATTGTGATCCTCGTTCATCTGTCATAACCAAAATATCTTCCTCATTGCGAGTAGGAGGGATTGATAGGCCAAAATAACACTGTGGTTATCTTCTGACAGGCAGTGATTTTTGTTTAAATGGGTAGGCGGTGTTTACTTTGCCATTCCCTCTCCCAACGTTACAATAGGAAAACTGGAAACAAAATATGCTGGAAATCACAGTGGGTCGGGTTGCATGCATGGAGAGAGAGAGAGCAAACTAACGTTTCAAGTCTAGATGACTTCATCAGAGCAGTGCTTCTACAATGGGAAAACTGGTTTGGGAGTAGGTGGATGAAAATGTACCAGCTTGGAATTGCAGGTGGAGAATTGGATCACTGTCATCTCTGTTCAAAAGCTGCAGGGGTGTGGCATTGAATTAGGACAGGAGATGAGTGAGAAAAGGTTTCATTTGCAAGGCAAAACCTTGATACAAAGTCAAAATTAATTGATGCTTAAATTCACCAGGATTTGACTTCTTTAAGCTTGCTTGGAAATTCAATTAAATGACAGCGAAGATTTAATATTGCAGCAGATGGGTTGGTGCAAGGTTCCTGCTGTGACATCTTCCGGTGCAATTGCAGAAGGTGTAATACTTGCCTATTTACCTGCTCCTCCTTGCTATCCAAGGCCCCTGACACACATTCCAGGTGAAGCAGCGATTTACCTGTACTTCATTCACTCCAGTCTACTGTGTATTCGCTGCTCACAATATGGTCTCCTCTACACTGGGGAGATGAAACACAGACACTCGACCACTTTGAGCAACACCCCAGCAAAATGATCTTGACCTTCCAGTTGCCTGCCACTTCACTACACCACGATGTTCCCTGGCCAACATTTCTGTTTCACACTTGCCACAGTGCTCCACCGAAGCTCAGTGCAAGCTGGAGGAACAGTATCTCATCTTCCACCTTGGGAATTCAACATCAAGTTTAACAATTTCAGAGCGCAAGAACTTTCCTCCATGTTCATTGTCTACCTCACATTCGCAAGTCTTGTTCTGTATGCGTTGCTCCCAGCACAGCTAAGCCTTTTCACCTATTCCTGCTAGCATTTGGTCAAGATTTATGTACCTTTGACCCATCAAGAATACCCCCTCCCCTCCCTGCCCCGGGTTGATTCAACTCAACCCTTTTTCTCTCGCTCTCACTCCTTTTTTCCTTTCCCCCAGACCCAGTCATCGGCACGATCACCTATAACCTTACAAATGACAAATCAAATCCACTAGCAGCATTTAGGTTGAACAAGATTGTACTGTGATGTAGCCAGGAAGAAACTGAAGAGGGGAGAGAGAATGGGGACTGTTAAGGTTTTTAAATGGGGAAGGATGAAGTTTAAATGTGTGCTTAGCCATGGTTAAAGTCACTCACTGTTTGCCAGACTGGTATCCTCTGTCCCAGGTATATCAAAAGGGATTCAAACGTTCTGCAATCAAAGCTATTTCTAATCATTCTAATTAATAACTTTTGAAAGACGTAATTTCAAGGCAACTGTCCTGTTTAATAAATCACATACAGAAACTTCCAAATTATTGTCTGATGTTTTGTTGGCTCATATTCCTTCCTTTCTGCCTGTTCCAATGACATCATGGCTGGTCCCTGGATTTGTTTGGTTAACAGAAATTTATCATCTTCTGTTTTAAAATTAATAATTGATCCAGTTATTGGTTGCTATTTAAGGAAGAAAATTCCAAAATTCTATACCCTTTATGTGAAGAATTTTTTTCTAATTACAGTCCTGGCTGTCACTTCTAGTGTGTTCCCCTGGCCTTATAATTCCTGATTATCAGAAATAGCTTCTCTTTATTTGTTCTAAACATTAATATTTTGAAAACTTCGATCAAATTATACCTTGTTTATCTAAATGCCATGCAATGCAAACCCTAGCTTGTGTAATTTCTCATAAATTAAACCTTGGAGCCCTAGTATCATTCCAGTAAATCTATTTTGCTCTTCATTCAAGGCTGCCATATTGTCACTATGGTATGTTGTCCAAAACTATTCAATACTCCAAACAGGCTTTTATATAGTTGAATAATGACTTCGATTCCCTTGTAATCTAGTCCTTCAGGTATAAAGGCCAGCATTTCACTCCTTTTGGATTATTTTCTGTACATATTATAGATGTCTCCAGTGTCACTCGTCTGTTTAGATGTTGTAATAATAGAATGGAGTCCCTACAGTGTGGAAACAGACCATTCAGCCCAACAAGTGAACACTGACTCTCCGAAGAGCACTTCACCCAGACTCACCCTGCATTTCCCATCTTTAATCCACCTAACCTCCATATCCCTGGACATTATGGACAATTTAGCATGGCCAATCCACCTAACCTGCACATTTTTGGACTATGGGAGGAAACCGGAGCACCCGGAGGGGACCCACGCGGCCATGGGGAGAATGTGCAAACTTGATACAGACAGTCGCCTGAGGCTGGAATTGAACCCAGGTCCCTGGTGCTGTGAAGCAGCAGTGCTGACCACTGAGCCACGATGCCGTCCCAAAAAGAAAATCTTTGTCCTGTACTCTTTAGGTCCAAATTTCTTGACTTCACATTTGCAAACATTAAAGTCCATTTACAATTTACCCTTTCAACTAACCAATACCTCATTTTAATGCCACACCTCTAACTACATTGCTTATACATTGTTTACCTCTCTGTCATCACCAACAAAAACAACAGATTATGAGACAACAAGGTGTGGAGCTGGATGAACACAGCAGGCCCAGCAGCATCAGAGGAGCAGGAAGGCTGACGTTTTGCGTCTGGACCCTCCTCTAATGCTGCTTGGCCTGCTGTGTTCATCCAGCTCTACACCTTGTTATCTCAGATTCTCCAGCATCGGCAGTTCCTACTACCACAGATTATGAGCATCAGATTCCACTTCATGGTTGAAAACCAAATCATACATTGACTTAGATTGAACCAAGTTACCAGTTTCTGATCATCCAATCTCAACCAATGTGAGATGAGGGAATGACATGCCTCTCACCATAAGTCGAAGCATTTGTGAAATAAATCCATCTAATAAAAGTACCTTGAACTTGATGAATTGCAATACTGAAGTTTGAGGACTGTTCATCGGTGAACTAAGTACTTTGTAAGATCTGGCGTTGAGAAGTTGTCTCTCTTCAGGCCTGTAAAGCCTGGTTGTGGTTAATGTACTGGTGTGAATGACCCTGGGGGTTGCTATTGTGTGGGAAGGAATAGATAGCCAATGAGGTTTGGCGCACTGTTTATATCATAGTCTTAGCCAATGGGTCATTTATGAGTCCTAACAAAATGAATACTAACAAAAGAGAAAAATCAAAGACATATTGGGAGGGGTGGGGAGAAATGGGATATCAAAGGAATGATGTAGTAATGGAGAAAAGACGTGTTTTGCGGAAGTGCTGTGGGGGGAAAAAGAATCCAAGAACCTGTAAAGAGCACAATTGAGATGCCTTTCCCTCACAGTGCAGAAGATAAGCACCGCTGGTTACATTTATCTGTCTGGCACAGAATTTCAGCTACTGAGAGAGCATGTTGAAAAACTATGTATGTGCAAATGGTTTTGTGTCCTTTAAAATGAAACCATTGGAAAAATCTAAATGCCAGTATGTGCACCCAGCAGCGAAGCTTCTAAGACAGAAGTGCACAGTAGTAAGATTTATCTTTGTGTATTCCATTAATCTAACCTTTGGGCAAAATCTTGAAAACTATAAACTTTGAGTAATTAACATGTTTTCTTTATTCATGCATTGAGAAACAATACTGCTTTAGTAGTATTGAACTGCACTGTAGCTGTACTGTTAGTTTTAGACACCCTCTAGTGCGACACTTCTTAATGGCTTCACAGAGGGCAGAATTAATTGGGTTGTGAATAAATTGCCTATGTTTCCAGTTCTTAATTACATTGTTTTTGACATGATTTGGTTCTCCGAAGGATTATCATAAATCCCACTTCCATGAGCTCAATAATAAGACTGAACTAAGATTAATGCACAGTCAAACTTAGATAGAAAGGGATGCATAGCCACATCGACTTAGAGTTTTGCAGTAGTTCCAAATTCTATTCCCTAGTAACTTGATACTTTACCTTTCTTGTAAATTCATACCTAATCAGTTCTTTTTAAAACAAAAATATTCAATCTGGGACTGGTCCTTTCTGGTAAGGCCATCATGCAGTATCTAGTCCAGTTTGCCCCTGAGGAGGTAATGGTGTGCCTTTTTCTTGAATTTCTGCGGTTTAGCAAAGCCCAAACATGTTCTGAACCAGATTCCATATCATATCTGTTACTCCTCCTGTTTGCTTCAATACCTGAAGAACTGAGGAGAGTTTTTTTGAAGACTGTTCCAATTCTGCTTCATTATTTGTTCTGTCACCTATTCAAAGCAACTGATGTGCGACTACCATTCAATGAGATTAAATTTCTGGTCAAAGATGGGGTAATTGTTGTTTCCAAACCGGTACAATCCATTGCACAGACTCACATCAGAATATAACTAATAGTAGCAGTGGTGGTATTGAGAACAGGAAAAGGCAGAAAATGGCAAGAATGAGAACTTAGTGGCTAGTATGTCATAACTCCATGGTAATGTAAGTCCAGCTAACAGCCTGCTGTCATCATAGTTATGTCCTGTTCCATCCAGAGAACAGATCCTCCAGAGGGGATGGTACCGCTGTATATAACTGGGAAGAAGTTGCTCTGAGAGTTTTCAACATTGATTTTGACTCCATGAAATCTTTTGGCTTCAGGTTAAACATGAGCAAGGAAACCTTTTTCTAATTCTCACCTTAGCCTTCAATATGGAGACGTATTGATCCATATTGAAGGCTAATTGGAAAAAGTGCTGTGGGTGATAATGGCACCAAACACTGGATGGGGACTTTAATGTCCATTTGCAAGAGTGGCTTAATACTGTTACTACTGACTAAACTGGTTGAGTCTTAAAGGACGTAGCTGTCAGATTAGCTGAGGGAAATTGAAGAGGAAATAATTTTCCTGACCTCATCCTCACTAACCTATGTTGCAAATGACAGCATTGTTAAGTGTAACCTTGCCCAGTCTTTCTGGAGATGAAGTCCTGTCTTCACATTGAAGATAACATCCAATCACTGCCACTGAATAACATAGATTTCAAACAGATCTATTAACTCAAAATTGGGTATCCATGAGGCACTGTGGATCATCATCAGCTGCAGAATTATATTCACTGTAGTGGGTTGGTATATCCCCCAGTCTACCAACCCTGGAGATCAACTCTGATTTCAATGAACAAAAACATAGTTGCTGGAGAAGCTCAGCAGGTCTGGCAGCATCTTGAAGGAGAAAACAGAGTTAATGTTTGGGGTCCGGTGACCCTTCCTCAGAACTGATGGTGGCTGGGAAAACATCAGTTTATATGCAGAAAATAAGGAGGTGGGTGGGGTAGGGAGTAAACGATAGGATAGAGCCCAAAGAGAGAGAAAGACAGTTGAACAGACAAAGGAGTTGCTAACGATCAGGCTGGGACGGTGAATAGTTGTTAATGGGAACTGTTAGTGACTAACAACAGGGGGTGTGTAGTGGCAGGCTATTGTTCCTGATTTACAGCATCTGCAGTTCTTTCAGTTTTTATTCCGATTCAATGAAGATTGTAGGGGGACATGCCTGGAGCAGCACCAAAAATACCTAAAAATGAGGTGTAAACCTCATGAAGGTACAATACAGAACTACATGTGTGCCAAACAGTCTAAGCAGCATGTGTCATAACCAAGCCAACAGATCTGATCTAAGCTGTGCAGTCCACATTCAGTCGTGAATGGTGATGGACAATTACACAACTCACTGGAGGAGGAGGCTCCACAATTATACCTATTCCATTGACAGGGGAGCCTAGCTCATCACTTTGAAAGATAAAGCTGAAGCACTTGCATCCATCTTCATCAAAAGTGCCAAGTGGTTGATCAAACTTTGCTTCCTCCATTGGACCTCAACATGACACACGGTAGTCTTCCTCTAATTCAATTTGCTCTGTGTGATATCAAGAAACAATTGGAGGAACTGAATATTGCCGTACCCATAGTCAAGCTGTTCGGATAAGGTTACAACACTGGCACCTACCCGACAATACCTGAATTGCTCAGCTACGTCCTTTCCACAAAAAGCAGGGCAAATCCAACCTGGCCAATCTCTGCCACATCAGTCTACCCTCAATTATTTATAAATTGATGGAAGGAACTATCAACATCAGCTATTAAGCAACATTTGTAAAGGAATAACCTTCTCACTGATGCTTAGTCAGGGTTCCACCAGGGCTATTTTGCTTGTGACCTCTTTACAACCTTGGTCCAAACATGGACAAAAGAGTTGAATTCCAGAGGTGTGGAGTGCTTCGCTGTTTATATAGAGCAGTAAAAACCAGAAAGACTGGACAATATCAGGCTTGAGCTGATAAGTGGCAAGTAACATTGTTACCACATAAGCATTTTAACAATGGTACTAAGTGAGTTAGAAAGCAGAGTTCAGAGGGTAGAGTGAATTGAGGTAACATATTTGGGAAACTATAAAGTTTTATTTTAGATTTCTTCAATAAACACTAAGCAAATTCTTAAGTTAAATTGATGTTGCACCTCCGGCAACAATTTTACACTTGCTGTCTCTACAACCAAGTCTTGAAGGCTTTTCCAATAAACAATTTGGTATAAGAAGTTGCTGTCTAAACCAATACAAATTCTGGATAATATTCACCATAGGATTGAAACTAGATATGTCTTGGAGATACGTGAGTGAAACAGCAACTTTCTTTATCTTTAAAAAGATTAAAAGCCATGGTCAGAATTTTTCTCAGAAACCATGCCTAAAATCTTGGGGAAGAGGAGAGGTATGGTGAGAGTGGAACAAAAACAAAGTTGCTGGAAAAGCTCAGCAGGTCTGGCAGCATCTGTGAAGGAGAAAACAAAGTTAACGTTAATGCTGAGCTTTTCCAGCAACTTTGTTTTTGCTCCTGATTTACAGCATCAGCAATTCTTTTGTTTCTTATGGTGACAGTGGAGTGTGTTGAAGGGAACGTGAGAGGCACATTAGCTGTGTTGTGTTAGTGTGGTCAGATGGAATGATGTCTCCAGGTTTTCTGTCAAGGCTAACAGTTCTTTCCTTAGACTGTTTATGTATGCAACCATATTCACTGCATATACATCAGAATCTCAACAGGGGAATTTTGCTATTTCCAATTCAATGCAGAACAATATTTAAAATATTTGTTCAATTTGGTTGCATTTAACTTAGGCAGCCTGCAACAAATATTTTAATTTCTTAATGAAATGCTTTTGTAACTCCAAATATTAAGTAAATAGGCTATCACATAATGTTACTCTCTTGCAATCAGTTGCTCATATAATGTTATGCACACTAGCCCACCTACGTGTACAGATATTTGATATATTAGGGAGAACCAAGGGAGATCTAAGTCAATTCTCTGCATAAATGGATGTAAGTAAGAAGAAGGATGTACTGAGAGAGACAAGAAAAAGCACTGGATTTACAACAGCTGATTTTTCAAATCTCCTAGCTTCTCCACCAGAACATCATATTTGCAGTTAATCTGTTTTTTTTGGTCCTTCCTGTAACTCATTTGAAAGATTGTTCACAACATTCATCACGCTTTGAATAAAAGTTTTTTTTCACCAAAATCAGTCTGAACTATGATGGTCAAATTCCAACTTTGGTTTATTATCATTAAATTCACTGGAACAATCATATACAAACGAGATTGACGCATTTGATATGGTTTAGTCTAAAATAATGTTTTGATGAAAATATTTTAGAAGTTAAAAATTAGCAGTTTTGCTAAAAGATCGATTATCGCATGTACAATTGACTATTTTTGTTATTAAAGGGGTTTGTTTGAGAAAATGACAGCAATCAAAGAACTGGAAAAGGAGTAAGTATTCCAAATTTCAGTTCTGCTTCCATTTTAGAAATTCATTTGGTGGAATAGTGATTAATCAGTCGATCAGCCTCCCTCCAGGCCGACAGCAGTGCCCCATGGGTGGTGCTGTGGTGGCTCCGATGAGTTGCTTCACCAGCAAATAAAATCTGCATCATCTGGAATCAGAGGGACATGATTATGTTGCTAGAGTTAAGCAATTTTTAATAATTTGCATCATGTAGATTAATCAGCATGAGGGCTGACAATATTGGAACGAGTGCAATATTTTCCATTTACCATACAACAAGTGGGCAGTCTAATTGTCTTGTCTTGTTTAATAGAGGCCTCAATACCACATCTTCATCTACTCTGTCTCATTTGTAGCCTCCAGCACTCTGTTCTTGTTTCAGATTTCCAGCATTTGCACTTCTTTGTGTTTATATCGGATTGCACTCTGCCGTGTTTATTATCAATACAGTTGTGACCAGTATTGGCAACATGAATAACAACCACTTGTGCATGACACCCTATTGAAGTATAACTCAACCAGGAGCCTTCAGGAACAGGGTAGAGAGAATTACATTCACAGCTACACTGTGTTACATATATCTGTAAGCAAATAAATGTGTTTAGTTGGTAAGATTATCTCTGGTTGTACAGGCGGCATTTTACAGAAGCTTTGAACATTATGACAGAAAAATTATTAATTGGATGTTCAGAAAATGATTAAAGCCAGCAAAAAAACATTAAGTTTAAATCTTTACTTTGCAATGAATGAATTGAATACTATCATCTGCAAGACACCATCTAAACCATACATCATCCTGACTTGGATGCATTTCTTTATCATTACTGAAACAATGAAGTGGCATTTCCTAACATTAGCATTCTGGGAGCATAATCAGTACAAGAACTGCTATGATTCATAGAATCATACAGATCAGAAGAGGCCCTCCAGCCCATTGAGTTTGCACCATTTAGAACTACTCTAATCCCATTGTCCAGCACTTGGTCTATATTCCTTCAAGTACTTTTTAAAGGTTGTTAGGTTTCCCTTCTCAACTACCCTCCCAGGCAGTGCATTTCAGATTCCCAGTACTTTCTGAGTGAAAAGAAATGCTTCAAATCCCCTCTAAACCTCTTGCCTTTCACCTTAAAATGTGCCTCCTTGTTATTGACCCTTCAGTTAAGGGGAACTGTTGCTTTCTATCCACCCTGTCCATGCCCCTCATAGTCTTATATACCTCAATCAGGTCACCTCTAGCTTTCTCTTTTCGAAAGAAAACAACCTGGACTTATCCAGCCTCTCTACATAGCTAAACTACATTGCTCCAACTGTGGCAACATCCTGGTGCATCTCCTCTGAATGCCGTCTGGCATAATCATGTCCTTCCTGTAGTACTCTCCTTCCTGTAGTATGGTGACCAGACGTGCACCTAGTACTCCAGTTGTGGCCTAACATAAGTTTTGCACAATTCCAACATAACCTCCCTGTTCTCATGGTCTGTGCCATGATTGATAAAACCAAGTGCCTTTATGCCTTCTTAACTACCCTACTAACCTATCCTGCCACCTTCACAAATGAGCACTGCAAGATCCCTCTGTTCCTCTGAGCTTCCTATTGCCCTGTAATTAATTAAGTACTCCCTTGTCCTGTTACTTCTTCCAAAGTGCATCACTTCACACTTTCCAGGGTTAAATTCTATCTTCCATTCATCTGCCCACTAACAACCCGTCTATATCTTCCTGTAACCTAAGACTATTAACCATCTGACCAATCTTCGTGTCACCTGGAAGCTTACTTATCTTCCACCTACATTCTCATCTATATCATTTATAAATAAATAGTCATAGAGTCATACAGCACAGAAACAGACCCTTTGGTTCAACTCATCCATGCCAACCAGTCATCCCAATCTGACCTACTCCTATTTGCCAGCATTTGGCCCATATTCCTCTAAACCCTTGCTGTTCGTATACCCATCCAGATGCCTTTTAAATGTTGTAATTGTACCAGCCTGCACCATTTCCTCTGGCAGCTCATTTCATACATGCACCACCCTCTGTGTGAAAAAGTTACCCCTCAGGTCTTTTTTAAATCTCTCCCCTCTCACCTTAAACCTACATCCTCTAGTTTTAAACTCCTTCACATTAAAGGGGTCCAGCATGGATCCCTGTAATATGTCACTGGACACTGGCCTCCAGTCACACAAACAATCTTCTACCACTGTGCTGATCCATCTTACCAAATTACCCTGGATCCTACATGTTTTCAACTTCTTTATCAGTCTCACATGTGGAACCTTATCAAAGGCTTTGTTGAAATCCATATAAACTACATCAACTGTACTACCCTGATCTACATACCTGATTACCTCCTTGAAAAGTTCAATCAAATTTGTTAGGCATGACCTCCTTCTGACAAAGCCATGCTGACTATCCCTGATCAAACCTTGCCACTCCAGGCAGGTATTAATTCCCTCCTTCAAAGTTTTCTCCAATAGTTTCCTCACCACTGATGTGACGCTCAGTGGTTTATAATTCCTTGGTTTCTCTCTACCACCCTTCTTGAAAAGTAGAAACACCTTAGCTGTGTTCCAGACCTCCTCTTTGTCCACAGAAATTTGGATTGAAGGCCCTCTCATGTCCTCCCTGTCTCCCATAGCAGCCTTGGATACAACTCATCTGAATCTGGTGATTAGTCCAATTTTAAGCCTGCCAAAACCTCCAACACCTTTCTAATCCCTATATCAAATTGCTCAAGAAGCTTACAGTTCCTCTTCCCAAATTGTGTACCTGCATCCACAGTTCCCAGAGTGAAGACAGATGTGAAGTGTTCATTTAACACCCTACTAATTCCATGCACAGACTGCCCCTTGTGTCCCTAATAGGCCTACTTATTCCCTGGTTACACTTTTACCCTTAATATACATATTTTGGTATTCTCACCAATCTTAGCTACCAGTGTTTTTTTCCCTCCACTATTCACCATTAATTTCTTTGAGAAGCTGTGAACTGGTGATAAATATATATCGCCCACATGCTGTAAAGAACCTGGAGTCAGCTTTACTATGATGGGTTTCAGTAGTCTCTATTATCTGCTATCACCATTCATTTATATTTGCGATTGTGTGTGTTAGAGAGTGTGGCGTCTTGGTAAACATAACCTTTCATTGAAAATTAGTTTCTAATTATGCTTATACAAGGCTTCATTTAGAGCTATCCCTCAATCGTTCTGATGCTTGTGGTTTGACATCACTGATGACCTAGACTTTCCTATTACATATTAACATTAAACGTTTATACTACAGGTTAAGGATCTGTGGAGCAGAACATTTGATTGGGATTGTCTCTTCCTATCCTGCGACTCTTGTTCCATATAACACAGACATGTGAACACTAAGTTGGAATAAGACTGTGCTGAGTTGATTAGTTTACATCGATTTTATGCTTCGTCTTAGATTTTAGGAATAGCCACTTGTGTTGAGTACTGGTGGCCAAGAAAGTGCACTTCTGTTATTGAAAATAAGAAGGCTGGAGGGAGATAGAAATACACCTTACTGATACAAATAAACTGTAAGGTTATTTAAAATTCTAAGAATGATACATCAATCTTCATGCCAGACTGTTGAATAGTATGTAAAATCCAAAAGAACTGCGGATGCTGTCAATCAGGAACAAAAAAAAAGTTGCTGGAAAAGCTCAGCAGGTCTGGCAGCATCTGTGAAAGAAAAAACAGAGTTAACATTTCAGGTCTGATTCTGAGGAGGGGTCACCGGACCCTAAACATTAACTCTGTTTTTTCCTTCAAAGATGCTGCCAGACCTGCTGAGCTTTTCCAGCAACTTTTTTTTTGTTGAATAGTGTGACTTACCGGAGAAGAAGTTCCCTCTTTTGCCTGTGGTAGGGGTTCAGCCAGTGTGTCAATCATGTCTCCAGTTGAGTTGATGGATATATGGGAGTAGGAGCCCCGAATGTAAGGGTTACTGAACCATTTTGTCACAAAAACATTTTTTGGTGCTGGCAGTGAAGGCCTTCCTAAGAAATATTACAGTGGTAGTTAAAGCAGACCTCACAAAAACATGCCCAAATAATTTCTGCCAAGATCATATTCGTGATGCTCCACTGCAGAATATGCTGGAAATGATCTGACAGCATCTAAATAGAGTTCGTCTTTCAACAGAACTGGGAAATGGATAACTAAAATACAAATGGAACATTGGAGTGAAAGGATGGAGCAGAAAAAGAACAAAAGGGAAGATCTACAATGGGATGGAGGGCAGGAGTTTTTGAGTGATGAAAGGTACAATGGTGTAAGAGAACATGCAATGAGACAGAGAAGCCTCATTAGAAATGTTTGGCACTTGCTGACATTTTTTAATTTAATGTCAAAATTGGACATTGATGGAGATTCTACTGAGAATCATTATCATCCAATTTGGTTTATAAAAGTTGGTTGAGAGTTAGCCCATCCAATCTGTTTATTCTAATAGTTTTATTCCATAAATATATAGATTCCTAAAAGTTCCAAATTCATACCAGTAAATTGTCTGAAAAGTTTGGTGAAGTTCGATGCTATTTCCTCAGGACTCAGAGATTCTACAAACTCGGCTTCTTTTCCAGAGATTGTTCCCACAAGGACATGACCATACCTTTGAAACAAGAAATCAAACTTGATCAACAGCAATTTTGTTTAAAAAAAGGATAAAATCCTGTGATAAACATTTTCAATCTATATTGACTAATTACTATGTTCTCCTAATGCAGCATCTAGGTAAATGCTGAATCAGTAAACTCAAACAGTTAGCCATTGTGCATAAGAACCTTTGGTGAGATGACAAGCTGGCCAAACTAAAAAACACAATATATACTTTGAGCATCATTTTCCCCCTTGGGCCCTTTCTTGCTGACCTGATTCAATGTCCTTCATGAGTGTATTATCCATTCATGGGATGTGAGTGTCACTGACTAGGCTGGCATTTATTGCCCATTCCAAATTTCCAGAGGGCTGTAGGTTTGGAGTCACATGTAGGCCAGATTAGGTAAGGATGGCAGTTTCCTTTCCTGAAGGACATTAGTGAAACAGATGAGTTTTTCCAACAATTGGCAATGGATTCACAGTCACCATTAGACTCTTAATTCCAGATTCTTTTGCCGTAGGCAGGATTTGAACCCCAGGTTCTTGTGACATTACTGGGGTCTCTGGATTAACAGTCCAGTGATAATACCACTAGGCCATTGCCTCCCAAGATAAGCCTACATATTTAGCAACATGGGCTACTTTATAATGGAGGCCATCACGTGCAATTCTTGCAAAGGCAGACGGTCATGCAGTGGTCAGCAAACCAAAGCAAGGGGCAATTTCTGAAGAAAGATCCCAGCCGAAACGTCAGCTTTCCTGCTCCTCTGATGCTGCCTGGCCTGCTGTGTTCATCCAGCTCCACACTTTGTTATCTCTGACTCCAGCATCGGCAGTACTTACAATCTCTATATTAGGCCTGACTGATTTCCTTCTTCCTCACAAGCTCAAGGGCTCTGGGACCAGTTGTAGTGCACCCTAACCTCCCCTCCCCTGCCCCCCTCCACGCTCCTCCCAAATGTTTGACTGACTTAGTATTCAAGGTTTCTGTAGTTTGTTTAGGTCGGCACCATACAAAATGGTACGGATACCAACAAACCCTTCAAGGAAACTCAATGAGCATGTTCTTTGCATTATTGTTGTTTGTGGGTAATATTTCCAAAGTTAAGATTAGAGATGGGTTGTAATTTGTGATACAAGTGATTGTGCAATAGATAGAGCCGCTAAAAAAGAACAACATTTATATTGGGGATTTAATGTAAATAAAATCCAATGGCACTTTAGGGCAAATATAATTGGGAAAAATTAGGTAGATGATTAAGGGAGGGGATACCAGGAATGATGATAGGAATACTGCCTTAAGGAGGGCCATAAAGCAGGAGAGGGAAATGGCTTAGGAATTCCAGCATATGGGGCTGAAGGTGTGGCCACAAATGGAAGGGAATGTACAAGAGAGTAGTGTCAGAAAATCAGGACTTTTGGGGTTGGAAGTTACAGACAAACAGAAGGTAAAGGCTACAAAGAAATTTCAACATCAAGATGCAAGTTTTAAGATGGAGTCATTGAGAGAATGGAAGCCAGTGTCAGTCAGCAAGGTAGGGATGATAGGGAACCAAGATTGGGGTGGAAGTATGATACATATCGGAGAATGTTGAATAGGAAAAAGTTTAGGGAGGATCAAGTATGAAAGTATGAAAGGCCAATCAGCCAATAACAATTTTTAGGGCTGGAGGAAGGTTTCAATGCTTGGTAAACTACAGCTTTTAGATGGGAGCTTGTGATGTTGCAGACGTTACAATAGGCAAGGTGTGCAAAGGAGAATATGCGCGATCAGAAATTCAGCTCAGCCATAAATTGGGCAAAGAAGTTGTGAACAGTTTGATGAAAGCTGAGATGATAGTCAGTTTTCGGCGGAAGTCAGTGATGATAGATATCATCTTCCAGCTGTTGAACGATAGTGAATTGCAACTTAGTCTGGATATTGGGCAACCAATTTAGCAAAAACAGAAATAGTGCAAGGATTGAGTGAGATGATAGAGAGATAGAACTCGATGTTGCCAGTGTATCTGCGGAAACTGACCAATGCCTTTGGACGATATTAAAATGGGAAAAAGAGGATGAGATATGGAGGGGAAGTGGTGACAGGAAGAGTAGTAATTGTTAGAGAGGCTCAGGCTACAAAAGGACAATAGTAGAAGCAACTGACAGCAGCTCCTTAGAGTTGGATAATGGAGGAAGATGGTGTCATTAACCATGTTGGTGTGTGAAGATCACAGTCACAGGGGATTTCATATGTAACTTTGATTAGATAAGAACATAGGAAATAAGAGCAGAAGGAGGTCATTCAAGCCTGAGGGCCTAGCCTACCAGACAATGACATCAAGGTCAACCTTCTACGTCACACCACCTTTCTGATCTATCCTGTTAACAGCCTCTGTCTTGAACATACTCAACAACTGAGTATCCAGACCTTCTGGGGCAGAAGGTTCCAAAGACTGACTACTCCCAAGTGGAGAATTTCCTCAACTCCGTCCTAAATGGCTTGCCTTTTATTCTGAGACTGTGGCTCTTGGTTCTACCCTACCTCGCACCCCCAACCCACCACCACTGCCTCACCTCAAAAGCCAAGGGAAACCTCGAACTGCATCTACCCTGTTCATCCCGGTAAGGATTTTATTTATTTGAGTGAGAATTATTTCACATTTTTCTAAACTTCAGGGAATATAGGCTCAGTCAGTTTAAATTTTGCTTACAGTGCAATTCCTCTATCTCAAGAAGTAATTTGGTGAGTATTTATTGCAAACTCTCTATAGCAAGCATATCTTTCATTTGGTAAGCAGACCAAAACTCTATACACTACTGCATGGTCTCACCAATGCTGTATATAATTGCAGTAAGACATCTCTGCTCTGACATCTAAATCCTCTCCCAGTAAAGGGCAACATACCATTTTCCTTCTGAATTGCTTACCCTATGTTAACCTGTAAAGTCTTATGAACAAGGACATCAAAGTTGTTCCCAACTTGGCATTATTTAAAAAAAACTCCAAATCTATGTATTTCCACCAAAGCGGATAAGCTTACCTTTCTCTAATGTTTAAGGTTGTTTCATTAGTGTGGCAATGGTTGAAGCCTTAATGGAGAGATTCAAATTTGTTAGTGGAAAGATGGGCACAGATTTGTGAAACAACAATTTGCTGAAGAGTTTTGGAGAGAATGGGGAGATGAAAATAGAACAGTAGTGGTCAATGAGGAAAGTTACGTGCTGTGACGGAAATTTTATCTTTATAAATCACTGAAGAGTGGCTCTGTACTTATTTTAAATTTCCCTTTGCCTCTTACTCCCCCTGCTGGTATAATAATCTTTACATTTGGTCATTCATTCAAACATAAGGAGTGACGACTATTCTGAAGAACTGCAGGGATTTAACAACAAAGGCAAACACTAAGGACTCTTAAGATAACAAGGTGTAGAACTGGATGAACACAGCAGGCCAAGCAGCATCAGAGGAGCAGGAAAGCTGACGTTTCGGGTCTAGACCCTTCTTCAGAGCTCCCGTCTTCTTTTGTTACTTAAATGCTGGAAACAGTTCATTAATGCAAGATAAACAGGTCACTACTACTTCAGGAATGAGGGGATTGTCTGATAGAATTATGGCACAGTGAAGGTAGATTGCAATATTTGGTGCCACATGCCACCATTTTACTTGACAAAGATGGGAAGCTTTTATATTTAAAATAGGTTGTTGCCAGAAATCTTCTTGTGGTTGTAAACCTTGATACAAAATTTTTCTGAATAGCAACAGAAATTAAAAGACAGGTTTTGATTTTGCACCCTTAACTTTTACTTCTGAAATAAACCTTTTAAGACCAGTGACTAATCACATTTAAGCTTCCTAAAACTCTTGAACCTAACTTGTTGACAAATCAAAACAGAACAAATATTTATCTGAATGTTAAGATTACTGTTTACAGTAGGATACTGGTGTTGTTACTGGATTACTAACCCACAGTGGTGAGATCAAATTTACTGCAGCAGTCAGAGAATTTAAATTTGATTATGGAGTCATAGAGTCATACAGTATGGAAACAGGTCCCTTCGGTCCAACCGGTCCATGCCAATCCAATCCCAAACTAAACTAGTCTCATCTGCCTACACTTGGCTATATCCTTCCAAGCATTTTTTATTCAATGTACTTATCTAAATGTCTTTTAAACATTGTAACTGTACCCACATCCACCACATCCTCTGGAAGTTCATTCCACACACGAACCACTCTCTGTGTAAAAAAGTTGCCCCTTATATCTTTCTTAAATCTTCCTCCTCTCACCTTAAAAATATGCCCCCTGGCCTTAAAATGCTCCACCCTAAGGAAAAGACACCTGCCATTCACCTTATCTATACCCCTCATGATTTTATAAACATCTGTAAGGTCACCCCTCAATCTCCTATGATCCAATAAAAAAATGTCCCAGCCTTTCCAGTGTCTCCTTAGAATTCAAACCCTCCATTCCCAGCAGCATCCTGGTAAGTCTCTTCTGAACTCCAGCTTAATAATATCGGTCAGATAACAGGGCGATCAAAACTGGACAAAGTGCTCCAGAAAAGACCAATGTCCTGTACAACCTCAACATGACATCCAAACTCTTGTATTCAAAATCTGAGCAATGAAGGCAGGTATGCTAAACACCTTCTTTACCAACCTATCTTTATGTGACGCAAACTTCAAAGGATTATGTACATGAATCCCTAGGTATCGCTGTTCTGCAACATTAAAAGGTCCTACTTTTAATTGTATAAGTTCTGCCCTTGTTTGTTTTACCAAAATGTAATAAGTCACATTAATCCAAATTAAACCCCATCTGTCCCTCTTTAGCCTTTGACCCAATTGATCAAAGTCTGTTTGTAATCTTAGATAACCATCTTCATTGTCCACTATGCCACCAATTTTGGTGTCATCCGCAAACTGACTAACCATGTCTTCTATATTCTCATGCAAATTATTTATATAAATGACAAAACAAAAGTTAATTAAATACATCTAAAATGAAAAAAAGTTAGTGTCTGTAATAGTAACCATGAAATTACTGTACTGTCCCTTATGTTGCAGAAATTAACCTGTTCCTAGCCAGTCTGGCCTATATGCCACTCCAAAGCCATAGCAATATGGTTGTCTCTTACCAAGCTACGCAATCATTTCAAAAACATTATGACAATCTGTAAAGAATTAACAATTTATTTCAGCCATCACCTTCTCAAGGGTGCTTTGTGATGGCCAATAAATACTGGCCTTGCCAGCTAAATCATCATCCATGAATAAATAAATTTGGAAAAAATGTTACTGTTAAAAATCATTCCAGTAAATTTTGTTAAGAAATCACATCTCTGATTTTATAAATGTTGCATTATCGTCAACAATTGTGAATAATCCAAACATTTGAAAATTTGCCAACAATACATGGACCAAGAATTTGCAATGCTTTTGATGAGCAACTGTCAGCATTTGCTGTCATTACTGCTCTGAATCTGCCCGTCCCTTTAGAATACAGCAGGATTACAGCTAAATGTGGAAATCCTGAAACTTATTTGATTATCCAATCACAGGATGAGTACATCATTGGCTTGGCCAGCATTTATTGCCCATCGCAGAGGGCAGTCAACCACATTGCTGTGGGTCTGGAGTCACATGTAGGCCAGATCAGACAAGGATGGCAGAGTTCCTTCCCTAAAGGGCATTAATGAACCAGATGGTTTTTTCTGACAATTGTTTCATGGTCATCATTAGACATTTAATTCCAGATTCTTAATTGATTCTAGTTTCAACCTGCACTGTTTCTGCTTCCAAATCTTTTAGTATTAATTTTACTCCTTTGTTTTACCAACTAATGTGATTAATTATAATTTTTCCTTACAACCTGTAATCTTTAAACCCATCCTTTCAAACGGCATCTGCTATGTGGGATTTGAACCCACATCCCCAGAATATTAACTGGGATTCTGGATTAACAACCTGGTGATAATACCACTAGGCCATCAGCCCCCTGCCTCTCAGAGCCCTGCCTCTCAACCCCCTCATTCACCAAACTTGCAATTAGAGAAATACGCTGATTGGGCGAAATGTTTCCATGTTACCTATTACTGCTAGAAGGTCTTTAAAATGTTGTTCCTTACCCAATGAGCTGTAACTACATAGTTCGAAATTCTTGCCATCCTATACATGAAGAGGTGTTCCATAAATTTACTCATTTTTTTGACAATGACCCAAGTCTTATATTGCTGAACCAAAAGAAATAGTTTCTCCCAAGCTACCATATCTGCTCCTGCCAATATTTGATCAAATGACTCCGTAACCTTCTAAATTCCAGGGAATATAAACATGGTCTGTGCATTTTCTCCTTGAAATTTAATCCATACAGGTGCAAATATCATTCAGGTAAAACTACATTGCATTCCTTCCAGGACAATATATCCTTCGTAAAATGTGGTGGCCAATATGATTACGGCTTTGTATAGCTGAAACAAGAATTCTATAGCATTGTGTTCTAAGCTCTAATTAGATACAGTGCACAACATTTCGATTTTACCAATGATTCTGCTCAATGTAGGTGTGTCATATACTTTGTATTTCCAATTAAGATGCAAAGACATTACTGCAAAACATGTTCTGCCACCGTACAGATAGGATTTTTTTTTCGTTAGTACCTTTCTGGTGGCCTGAACACATAAACGACTGGAACACATCTCCACCACTCAACCAGGTTGGGTTTCTGGGCCGAAAATGGGGTCTCATCCTCCCAGACCAATCCAATTATGTCTGTATTTTCATCCCAAAATGGGGCCTCATACTCCAGGTAAATCTTATTCATTGTGCCAAAGCCCATGGTTTGAATAGCATGCTGATAATTCTCAGGAAGACTTGGCTGAAACAATGACTGACTATTTGCCTTTAGACAACCTGTGAATGAAAGTAAAAAATAAATGATATTTTAAAACATCATTCCTTTCTCTTAGTTACTCCATTGTAGTTTAAAATAGCCTTTTTACAATTGGCAGGTTATTTCCTTGTGTTGTTTGATATTGTTAATGTTTTGCTCACACCCAATGGTGATGAAAGCAGCGATCAATACTATGATGGAAAAGCTACCTAATTTTATGGAAAAGGTTTAGTAAATGCTGTTAACTCTGAACATTGAGACAGTCACTACTTTCAACCTGTACTGTTTCTGCTTCCAAATCATTTAGCATTAATTTTACTCCTTTGTTTTACAAACTAATGTGATTAATTGTTAATTTTCTTCCAATCTGTAATCTTTACTTATCTGTAATCTTTACTTATCTTTACTGTAATCTTAAACTCATCCTTTCAAGTTCCCTGACCATTTGCAGAGGTGGAAATCATTCGAGAAGAACGATCTTTTGAGAAGATTCAATCAGTTCAGGTTGTACAGGACGTTGGTGAGGCCTTTTCTGGAGTACTGTGTCCAGTTCTGGTCACCCTGTTATAGGAAGTATATTATTAAGCTGGAGAAGGTTCAGAAGAGATTTACCAGGATGTTGCTGAGAACGGTAGGTTTGAGTTATAAGGAGAGGTTAGATAGGCTGAGATTTTTTTTTACTGAGCATAGGAAGTTGAGGGGTGACCTTGTAGAGATTTATTAAATCATGAGGGGCATAGATAAGGTGAATAGCAGGTGTCTTTTCCTGAGAATGGGGGTTTCAAGCGGCATACTTTTATGGTGACAGGAGAAAGATTTAAAAAGGACACGAGGGGCAACTTTTTTTTACACAGAGAGTGAACTTGCAGAGGATGTGGTGAATGCGGGTACAGTTACAACATTTAAAAGACATTCGGACAAGTACATGAATAAAAAAATGTTTGGAGGGCCTAGTGCATGCAGTTGGGACTAGTTTAGTTTGGGATTAGGGTCAGCATGGGCTGGTTGGACTGAAGGGTCTGGTTCCATGCTGTGTGACTCTATTACTCTATGACTACTGCTTCCAAGTTTTTTTTGCAGCCAGTTAGGTGAGGATTTAACGAACCACTGGTTGGTTGTCCCTGGCACTCTTTGATTGCAACACCTATTCCTGTTTATTTTATGGCAGAAATATGTAACAATGGATAACTAAATGAATACT